CGTTGCTAAATCGAACAATTGGCCACTTTCCACAATCCAATAAATTAGATGTTTCCTTTACAAATTCTTCCGATAAATCATTTGATTTTTTTAAAATAACTCAATACAATTATTTTTGAGTATTGTTGAAGGTTCTCCAACTTTATTGGACATGGTTGTAGAGCTAGTTGAAGCATCAGAGTTGAAATCTTTACGACCTTCGTCAGGTTTTTTATAAGCAATATATTTTTCAATGCTCATGAATTTTTAAATTTTTAATCTTTTTGACTTTCTTTTTCTGTACTCATACCCAGACAACTTTTTTCTCAAATTTGAAATATTATGTGACATGATACAGATTATTTTTTATTCGTAAGATAAAATTATTTCTATAATAATAATAAAAAAAAAAATTAAACAAAATTCTCAAAAAATATTGATAAAATTCTTAAAGAAGATAAACCAAAACAAAAATTACTGATTTTTAAAATTGAGTCAACTGAACACCTAATGACAAAAAGTGTAAACTTTTGAACTTCTTTATAAAAAAAATATATACATATATACATAAAAGAAAGATCAATTTCATAATAAGAAGCAATTACTGATATATATCCTCTATAGTATTATATATATATATATATATATATATATATATATATATATATATATATATATATATATATATATATATATATATATATATATATATTTATATAATACTATATAGTATATATATATAATACTATATTGTATATATATATAATACTATAGTGTACATATACATACTTATGCCAAGCCTTTATTATTTGAAATGAAAGTTTTAAATATATATGAGCTTAATATTTTTAATATTCTTTGTTTTATGTTTAAATGTAAAACCAATTCATCCCCGATTTCTTTCCATAATTTGTATTCATCAAAAGATAAAAATAAATACATTTTACCCAATAATAATTTTATTGAGCAGGCCATTTTTTAAACATATCTTTTTAAATTTTGTATTGATTATCACGGACCATTCTTATAGAATAAAATAGTTTTAAAAAGTTTTACTGAGGATTTTAGACCGTATCGTCTTTTACGAGTCCCCGCGTCCTTTTATTATTTAATAAAGATCATTATATATATATATATATTTTTTTATTATTATATATTTGTATTTTAAATATTGTAACGAAATGCTTATTTAAAATGTATTAAAAAGAACAAAATAATAAATATATATATATGTTTTTTACATCTTCACTTCCAACAAAGCTGCAAGCAACCATTATTAGAGTTCGAAGTTACTGGAAGAGAAAAGATGAAGTTTGTAGAGCAAGATAACGATTGACAAACAACTTAAAAAATTGCAAATTATATGAATTAGGAAAGCAAGATGAAAGAAGCGAATTCCAAAGAACTGATGTTCGAGGAACAAAACTATACAAATATAAGTTTTTGGAGCACTTAGGAACAGTCACAGAAAAAGGATGAGACTTAATTTAATGACGAGTAACACAAGAATGAATTTTAGTAAATGGCACGAGAGACGCTAGCTCTTTAGACCAGTGCCCATTATAGTATATGTAGAAAAGAGAAAGAGAAGTAACGTTATGACGATGTGATAATTGTGGAGGTTGGCTGAAAGAGCAGGTCCAACTATGTTTATAATGCGTTTTTGCATCTTGTCTAAAAGAGAAAGGGCATAATTATGATATGATAACAGTATTCTATACAAGGCCGGATTTGAGATTTATAGAGATAGAAAATAGAATCCGGAGAAAGAAAGTGTCGAGCTCGATAAAGAGATGCAGATTTAGCAGATGCTAATTTTGCAACGGATTTGGTGTATGGAATCCAAGAAAGATCGGAAGTAAGAGTTAATCCTTGAAGATGAAGGGTAGATGACTCTGTAATTACTCATCGAGTAATTACAGTTCATAAATATAGGAAGATCTAAATTATTGTGATAACAATTGGCTGAAAAAAATTGAGTTTTATCTGAATTAAAGTTCACCAGCCAATGTGAGCCCATGCTGTAGCAAAAGTGAGATCCTTTTCAAGCTCAGATGCCCCCTGCAAAAAATCAGAATGAGTTGGCTTCTTAATCGTGACAAGAATAAATGGTTGAATCATCAGCGAACAATGCCGCCTTAGATGTGAGAATATCTGGAAGATCCTTTTCAAATTTCCCTTTTAAGCAATCAGAGAGTGTTGGCTTCTTATCATGACAAGAATATACTAGGTTGGTTGAAAAGTTCGCGGAGCGGCACCTATGTTGCAGTAGTAGAAACAAATTTATAACTGTATTAAACGTATTCATTCTTCGTATGAACGCATAAAAAATTTCAAGTCAATATGTCATTTCAGTCTTTGTTTACAAGCTATTGAAATTAGACGTGTCATAGTATTTTTTAAAATGGAAAATATCGAACATCGTGCTGTAATAAAATTCTTTGTGAAAAAAGGTTTAAAGCCCATGGAAATTCATAATGAAATGGTAAATGTGTTGGGTGATGATGCTCCTTCAAAAACAACAGTATGCAAATGGGCTGCGGAGTTTCAACGTGGGCGTTCAAGCCTTGAAGATGACCCTCGCTCTGGACGTCCAAAAAGTGCTACTACTGAAGAAACGATTAATGCTGTGCATGACATGGTTATGGATGATAGACGATTGACCAAACGTGAAATTGCTGAGGCTGTGGGCATCTCAGATGAACGGGTATTACACATCTTGCACGATGAATTACGTCTGAGAAAGCTGTTGGCAAGATGGGTGCCGCATTCGCTAACTCTGGATCAGAAACGCACTCGAGTAAAACTTTCTCAAGAACATTTGGCCCGTTTTCAAAAGAATAAAACAGATTTTGTGCGTCGATTCGTAACCATGGATGAGACTTGGGTTTACCACTATGATCCGAAGCTGCGACAACAAACTGCAGAGTGGACAGAACCCGGTTGTTCAGCTCCGAAGCAAGTGAAGGCGTCAAAATCGTCAAAGAAGGTTATGGCATCAGTTTTTTGGGATGCGAAAGGAATTTTATTAATAGATTACCTTCAAACCGGTAAAACGATAACAGGTGAATATTATAAAAATCTTTTGGACCAGTTGGATAAAAAAATTCGTGAAAAAAGACCTGGTTTGCTGCATAAAAAAATCATTTATCACCAGGACAACGCACCTGCTCATATCAGCGATGTTGCAAAGGCGAAATTTCTACGTGGAAAGCGTTTCTCATCACATGAAGAAGTCATTGCAGCCGCAAATGGGTATTTTGAAGGCCTTCCGGAATCGCACTTCAGAGATGGGATACATGAATTGGAGAATCGTTGGAAAAAGTGTATTGCTCTTAAGGGAGAATATACTGAAGAATAAAGTCATTTTTTGAATCATAAAATTGTTTTTTCATTTCCGCTCCGCGAACCTTTCAACCAACCTAGTATGGTAGTATCATCAGCGAAAAATGCCATCTTAGATGTTAGAATATCTGAAGAATCCTTAATGTAAACTAAAAAGAGTATTGGGCCAAAGATTGAAACTTAAAGAACCCTAGAAGTTTCTGGATATGAAGAAGAGTGCTTATGATAAGAAGAAGACTAATGGGACGCTAGTTAGACGAGTCAGATCGCTCTCCAGATTTTTTGAAAATAGAGATAACAGATGTCGCTTTTCAGCATGCTGGAAAACAAGATTCTGATAAGCACTTGTTAAATAGCTTTGAAAGTATGGATGACAGCTCTGCAGAACACTTCTGCAAGACTACAACAGGTGTGTTGTCAAGACCATAGGCTGTAGAAGAGTCTAAGCAGGAAATCAGAAGCTGGAGTGATACGAATGTAAAGCAATGGATCAACCTGTTTGACGGCTATATCACGTAGAACGCAACTAGTGGAATTAAGAGAAGGTATTAATGAAAATATTTTAGCAAAAAGTTCAGCTTTGTTTTTAGGTGAGGGGACAAAGTCTGAACCATACAAGAGAGGAGGAGTAACAAATTTGCCATTATTGTTGATACTGTTAAAGATTCTCCAGAAGTCGCGAGAGCCTAATTTTTGTGATGAAATATGAGATTTTATGATCTGAGAATAGCGAGCCTTGACGTTAGACAAAACCTTTTTACAATGGTTTCTAGCAGTAGTAAACAGACGCCTGTTTTGGAGAATTGCTTTGCTGATAGATATGGAAGTATATGGTTTCGATTGGTGAGGCTTTACCTGGAATTGGCAATTCTAGGTAAAGCCTCACCAATCGATTCTCTCTTGGCAATTCCAGGTAAAGAGTGAGGCTTTACCTGGAATTGCCAAGAGAGAATAAAAGATTCCATGCCAGCCTGAATCCACGAAGTTATGTAAGAAGCACATTTGTCAGCAGGAAGACGAAAAATTTCTACCCAAGAGCCATCACGAAGAAAATCACGGAACGAGTCCCAGTCAGCATTAAGGTAGTTCTTAGAGGTACGATGATAGCGGGATTCTGATAATGAGATAACAGTTTTAGAGAGATCAAACCGTGATTAGAAGCACAATGGTGAATGTGGGATAACTGAGCACTGACTAAGATGTTAAATGGTTCAGATTGTGTGGAAAGCGAATTGGAAAGTTGACTATTTGAGTTCGCCAGCAGAGTCACGGTCACTACCCAGACAGCAAGCTTACATTGGCCCAACGTTGGGCCAATGCATAATGATGCATTGGCCCAACGTTGAAAGTCGATGTTGGCCCAATGCAGGTTTGATCATTGATTAGGTATTGGCTTAACGTTGTGTACAACATTAGCCCAATGTTGTATACAACGTTTACCCAAAATTGGCCCAACGTTGTATACAACATTGGCCCAACGCTGTATACAAAATCGGCCTAACGTTGTATACAACATTGGGCCAATATCGTATGTTATATATCGGCCTAACGTTTTATGCAACATTGGATCGTTGTTACAAATAAGATGATTTGCATCGCTACATTGAAAATTTATAGAGAAAAAAAAGAATGTATGATACAAGTATAAAAATTTATTTATTTAACATAATTTCTCGGTTAAATATAAATATTGAAAACACCAAACTTAAACCAAAAACTGACACATTGACTTTTAAATAAAAAAATTCATAAAATTTATAGAGCAGTTTCGATATTGGCTGAGCTACTTGTTATTGAATCGTGTTTAGCTTATCATATTTGGTGCCCACGTTTATTATTTTTTCTTGCACTATCTCTATCACGTGTCTGCATAAGCCATGCTTATTTGACTTCTTCAGTTTCTGCAAAAAAATAGTTGTTTGTTTAATTATGCACCAAAGAAACATAACAAATTGAAATTAATTCTGTAATGCAAAATCGAGACTGGAAAAATAAACTTTTCTAAACCACTTACCAATAAAAACATATGCAATCAACATTTTTCCTATTTCAGTTTTTTATCCTCTCCCTGTATAGTTTAATTTTACAGCTAGGCCATTTTAAAAAACTATTCTTAGTAAATAACATATCCAATCTCCTTCGTCTTTAACTCTAATTTGTGCCAAATAATTGAAGTGCAAAAATACACAACCTGGCAATAATTAAAGTAACTTTTGTTTAGACTTAAATTAATATAAAATGTCATTTACAAGAAATCTTCAAAGAGTATTTTATTTAAAGTATATAAGTTGTACTAAGATATCATACAAAATGCATAAAAAGATTTAAAAAAAAAATTTACCATTTACTTAAGTATTTTATTGTCTTTTTTCTTCCAGTCCTTGAATTCTTTACTGCTTTTAATGGCAATTACACTCTTTCAGGCAATAAAATAATTAGCATACCTTTGTTACTCAAATTTTTATAACTGAAATTGATGTGTTTTGGAGTTCACCAAGTGGCACTTCAATGCTTGCCCATTGTGCCAATAATACCAGCATATCTTTCAAGGATACAACTTTACCTTAAACAATAAAGTTAATTATACTTTTATGAAACTATACAACTAATTACATATTATATTTAGAATTTATGAAAGTAAATACAACAATCACTAATAAAACAGATAAAATTAAAGACAGAGGGGCATATTTTTAATGATAAAAATATATACTTGCTAATGGATTCATAATATTTTTATGAATTATGAAATTTGCAGGTGTGCATTCAATTTCTGGTACTGATACAAAACAATTCTTGCTAATGCTTAAGCTTAAACATTAACGAGAATTGTTTTGTGTATCTTATAAAATACAGATTGCATCGTACAAAAAAAAAAAATCATATTAAAACAATGTTTCTCCAACAGGGTAGCCAACTATTTATATAAAATTCAATGACTTTTTTGAAAAATCAGATGAATTTCACTGACCATTTTTAACAATGGTTTTTACAAAATGTTTGTAATGGAAATGATAAGATTGTACATGCTTTGAATGACAAAACTTATAAAACTCAGCTATTAGTTAAGTTGGATTTTTAAATTAGTTAATTAGTATGGATCTTATTATACATGTTAGTATGGATCTTATTATTAAGGATGACTAAGAACGAACACTAAGAAAAACATAAGTTTCAGAAAAATTAAATGGGTAGCTCCAAAAAAAACATAATAGCTTAATTGAGCGCTGTATTTTGAAAATGTGACAAGTCACACAATTAAAATTTTACAAGAGAAGGAAAAACATTTCTCCTGTAAAAAATTTTGTTTTTATTTTATCTAAAAATTGCTTCTTTTATCCAAAAAAATCTTTATTTTATCTTATAATTTTATCTTTTCCTAAAAAAAAAATATTCATTTCAAATAACCTCACTTTTAAAAAAAGTGTGGTTATTTGAAATATAAAGTTGTCTAATGTTTGTAAATAATTTTTTTTACATATTTTGATTCTGAATTTTAATAATACAGTTTTTAAAAATAATATCATCTTTAAAAATATTGTATTACCTACGTCTATTAGATAAATTTAAATAAACGTTTATATAATGAATAATAATGAACCACCAGCAACTGTTAAAACTTTAAACTGATACGAATACTCTGTTGATTTTTTCAACAGTTGATTTTAAATAGATTTCAAAGTTGGTGACACTAACTTTGAAATCCAACAAAGATTTTTTGTTACGTTCATAAACTTAAATGTTCTCAAAACAACTAAAAAACCTGGCCAGTTTTTCGCAATTAAATATAATTTCCGTCATCAGTATTTAAGAGCGCTTCCTGACCAAGCCTGTGGTGTAAACTTAGATATTTTGATTATTACATACTAAAATGTTAATTAACACTCTGACTTTTTGACCGTAATATATGAAAAAGTTTTTAAAATTGTAAGAGTTAAAGCTATGAATAAAGATTTTCAATCATATACACAATTTTTTGTCTCTTTAATCTTTATTTTGACTGGTCATTTTCGCTGTCTTGCTTTTTTGTCTCCAGAGCAGAAATTTAGCCTTATGCTAAATTCAATCTTGTATTGCTTTAAAAATCTATAAACCAAATCATTATTAATTAAGTTATAACTAAAGTTAATGAATAAGCTTAAAGTTGTTAACTGTTGTACGCAAACTAAATATGAAAAATATCCAGAGATATTAAATTAAAAAATAATTAAACCAAGAAAAATGTCCCTCTGCCTTGGAAAGATGGAATATTAGAAAGCTCTACACAAGTAGAATATAAGTTCTAGTAACATCACTTTTTGTACACTGTTTTAATATGTTAGTAGATGGGGTTTCATAATCAATCACAGAAAAAATCAAACAAAAGAGACATATTTAAAATGTAAAATATCAGCTTCTAACAACTTCAATGCCACATATATATTATTGATACCTTTAATAATATATTTTATAATAGCTATATAATCTAAACTATTATAAATAAATAATGAAAAAAAAAAAAATTTATACTGTATGACATTTTAAATGTTTGATTTATTTAAAAAAGAAGACATTTAAAATGTCTTCTTTATTAAATAAATCGAACATTTGAAATGTTTCATTTATTTATAAATAATAGTAATAAATTTTATAAAATAATAATAAAATTTAATAAATTAAATTTAATAAAGATTATTAAATAAAAAATGCCAATACAGCATTAAAATAAAAAAATAACTTAAAGATCTTACACAAAAATAATTTGATTATTGCCTTTATTATTACATTAATAATTTAGATTGTGGTAAAAAATGTTTTAAGCATATTATTTAAATGTTAACAAATATTTCATTATTTAAAAAAACAAAACATTAAGTCACGATAATCTCTTAAAATTTATTTCTTATAAGGAACCTTTTAAGATTCTTAGAAGATTAATAAATGTAACTTCTTTTTTTTATTTTTATAATTTAAAAAAATGGAAAGACATATAATAGTATCAAAACCTTTTTTTATTCTGTCAAACGATACCATTTTTAAAAAATGTTTCGAAACATTTTAAAAGTATATACTGGCCAAATATTGGCTAGGGTATAAATGTAAAAACAGATTTTTTTGGCAAAATATTAAGCCTAAACTACATTGGCCAAATATTGGCCACGCAAAAGAATTTAACTCAGTATGTCCGTTGCAACTTGGTTTTTTCTATTAAAATATCCGGGAGTTTTAAAGGCAACGTGTCAGATTTAGAAGATTTAGAAAAGAGAGTATATTTGCTTTTGGTAGGTTTCAGAGAGAGTTTGTTGGCTTTAAACCATTCATTAAGGTTATCAAGTTTACTAATCATAGTGGTAAAAATTGTTTTAATGTTAGAGTGAGTAATGTTGTCTAATTTTGTGTAGGTTTTGTCATAATACACATTGTGTAATGTCATGGATACACATTGTTTGCGATTTTAAAGATAGGAACAAAACCATTTAAAAAGATTATTTTTGACTCCATTTTTTAAGTTTGTAAAGAAGAATATCAAAGTCCACAGTATCAAAGGCCTTAGAGAGGTCAATAAACACTTCAAGAGTATATTGGTTGTTTTTAAACCCATTTAATATTTCTTTAACTAATTTAATAACTGCATGTTCTGTCGAGTGTTTATTTCTAAATCCGTACTGATTATTATCTAGAACTTTGTGAGTTGTGAGATCGATGTAAAGCTTATTATGCATTATTTGCTCTAGAATATTAGAAAAACATGGGAGTATTTAAACAGGTCAGTAATTAAATAACTTTGACATATCACCATCTTTAAATATTGGAACTACTCTAGCTAGTTTCAAGATATCAGGAAAAACTCAATTTTTAAATGAAAGATTAAAAATAATAAGTAAGGAGTATTCAATAATATCAAAAACATCTTTAACAACCTTATAGCTTATACCATCAAGACCTGCGCTTTTGTTTGGTTTTATCATATAAAAAGCAAATCGAAGTTCATCAGGCGATACCTTAAGCTCATCCATTACATAGTCCACTTCTTTTAGATATGATTAAAAATTTGGTGTTATTTTGTTTGCTAGGTTTTTACCCACGTTTATAAAAAAGTTATTGAAACTGTTTGTAATATCTTTTTTCTCATTAGTCATTGTTCTTTTATCCTCAGTATTTAAATATTTCGGTAAAGTATTATCACGAGTTTTCTTTTCCTATCACTTCCTTTATTATATCCCAAGATTTTTTTGTTATTTCCGATATTATTTTGTAATAAATTTAAGAAATAATTTTTTTTTTGCTTTTTTTCTCAAGTTTTCAAACAGGTTTTTGTAAGTTTTACATTTTTTTTGTTTTGATAATTTTTTTTTTTAATATTTTTCATAGAGTTTTTGTTTTTTCTAAGAAGATTTAGCCGCCGAAGCTTTACATTCTTGTTTCAAAAGTCATTTGGAAAAATACAAAAAAGATGCTTCTCATCTCGATTTTTCTCATCTCTCCTAAACTATGTTGTTGATTACAACTGCAAAAAAGTGTAAATCAACTGGTGCAAGATGCAAAAAATTCGAATAAGAAGAATATCGCAAATGTTGTGTTGCTAAAATTATTTATTGAGAAGTGTTTTATGGCCAATATGTTTGTTAATATGAAAAAAGAGTAATAAAATAATTCAAGAATCAAATCTGTGGATTTCTATTAAATACTTAGACTTTTTTAAGTGAAATAATTTTTTTGAGGAAGTCATAAGTTATAGCTTTAGATAAATATCAGTTGTAGAAAAATAATTACTCTGTTTAATTTCAATGCAAGGTTTTGAAATAACTCATTATGGATACTTTTTGGTATTCAGTATCACCATTTCAAAGGATTTTGATGTGATTATTGATTAGCATTAGGGTCTAAAGTTTTCAGTGATCCTGTCTGCTTTTTCCATACAGATTAAGCAAACTCATGGTTTTTGGCAAACGTAGGCGTGATGGAAAACGAATTTTTGGCGCGCGGAAATGAAATATTTTTTGCATAGACGTAAACAACAAATAAGTACGTGATAGGGATAAGATGAGTAAATTCTCTTAGCTCAAAAAACCGATTGAAATTCCGGATCAGTCTCTTTATAAGTACATATACAAAATTTAGTGTAATTAGTTGTTACTTTGATAATTAAAAACTTGTAAAATGCTTCATTTTTAAGATCTGCTATTAAATAACGGTCAAATTTAACTTTCTACATAAAGTATCAAAATTAAAGTATCTCTGTTGAATTTCTAACTATGATTTTAATTTTTTGTGTTATAAAAACCTTATAAAATACACAATCATTGGTTAACTTATTTAGTTTGTTTTGTTTTTATATTTCTGTTCATAGTAAGTGTGTTTTTCTTTCAGGATAAAAAGAGAATTTATAAAAAGTAATAAAATATCACACCCGCCTAAAATATCACATCCCTCATAGAAAAACGGAATTCTAGAATGCGCTTTCGAGTTATTGCTCTTAGAAGAGTATCAAGTACGTCCGAAACATTCAAGTACTTGGTGGAAGTTAAGGCGATTTTTAATAATTATAGCGTCTATATAATATTTTGCTGACTACAACATATTTCCGTTAAATGATCAGATCAGAATCATGAAAAGACGAAAAAAATAAAAATGATAAAGTATGCTGTAACATAAAATAAAAATGTTTGTAGCGAAAAAACCCAGACTTAAGATTCTTTTTTTAAAAAAAATCTTCTTAAACTCACAATCGCTTGTTTAAATTTAAAAAAGGTTTTAAATAAATACGCTTTTTAGATAAAATAAACATCATGGTTTAATAATATGATCGGTTCTAATCGTTTATTGACACTTGTTCTTAATTATAAGCGCTTTCTTGGTCGGAATTCATGTATTTTTTGTGAAAATTGATAGAAATGTTGTGTTTTGACAATTATATTAAATTAATATGTGCTAGAAACAATCAGAGCTAAAATCTATAGTAGATATTTTTTAAAAACTAAAACTAAATTACTTTATCATTTTTATACGAGTCAATGTTTGCATATTGTTTATGAACCCAAATCTGCTGGCCACATCTGAATGCGACAGTTCTGTAAGTCAACTCTGCTTTAACTCGAAAGTCATCTTTTGCAGGGAGAAGAACTTCTTCAGAAGTACCTTCATCGAAATGTTGCTTTCTTTTTCTTAACCTTTTGACATCTTTTTTATATACTTCACATTTGTACAAATCTTTTCTATTTTATCTCAAATTTATCCTATTCTGTCAAAGATCTCAATAATTGAACTCACACAATAAATGCAACAAACTAACAGCTTTATTTAATTATGAGGTGGCACATTGTAAAACTAGTCTTATTCTATTGAATGTTTGCAGTATTGTGTCCCAAAAGACAGTCAAAGTATTAGTTTACAATTCACAAGATGTTTTGCTAGTCCAGGTGCCATTTGTCGAGTTTCACCTTTTATACGTTCATCAATTGCAATGGTATCTTGAGCAAATTAAATATTCTCCGCAAAGCATTTGTTACCTCAGCATGTGCTGAAAAATGTGTGTCTGATAGTTTTTTAGGCACTGGTGTCTTGTCTTTGACTAGCGCTTTTGTCAAGATTGTCCACCAATGAGTGGAGGCACTAAAGAATGTGTAGATCAGTCGCACAACATCAAAAAAACCAACTGCTGCACTGCAACAACCAACATCATTTTTGCTAACTAAATTTAATGAATGAGCAAAGCAAGCTGTTTATAAAGCCACCACTATTGCGGAAGTCACTGCAGTGAACTCCAATTCTCAACCGAGTCAACTCATGGCTGTTACGGAGATTTGTAACTGTTGTTGTGTATTAAAGGAAACATATATTGTTACGGAGATTAATCTTGCTTTCTTTTTTTTTTCCAATAGCATATGATTTTGAATACTTTAAGTAAAAAAAGCATGCTTTTTCAAAAACTGTGTTATCAAATTTGGGGGCCTGAGGAGTTGGGGGCCACAAGCACGTGCCTCAATTGCCTCAGTTCTAATCCGCCCCTGCCTGGTATAAAAACTGACTTGATTTTAATGATATTTATATCTTTACAAAAATAAGTAAAATAGTATACAATATAAAATTATGTTATACAAGATTTTACGTAAACAGCTAGTGTTTATATGACGGAAAGGGTGTATGCCCTCCCTCCCTATTCAACTTAAAAAAAAAAAGATAAAGCAATGCAATTACTATTTTCAAAATTTTAAGAATAAATTCAAAAAAATTTATAAAATTGAAATAAATAAATTCATACCAGAAATCAACCAAATATGGAAGGTAATTGTAAAACTCATAGTAGACATGTTGACGATGTTTAACACACTATATTAAAATAAAAAAAAGTTTTAATTTTGAGATATATAATTGGTTATTTAAAGTACAACAACAAATAAGTATAACATATTTTACTAGAGTAAAAGATGCATTAGTGGTGCATCCGTGTCATAAGAGAATGAGAAAAAAAAAAACAGAAAACATCCATGGTCATAAGAGGCGTTTCCCCCCCCCCCCCCCCCTATTCAACCTAAATAGGTGTAGCGAATTTTTATTTGAAAGAAACATTTCTGATTAATTGGAGAATAAGTTACTAAAACATTCTCTTACTACTGATGGACTTCTATTAGTCATTAGTGATAAAAAAAAAAAATGGTAATAAAAGCTAGGTATTTACCAACTTTTATAAATCTTTAATATAATACTTGATTGAAGTTTGGTTTTAAAAGCGATGAGTTTTTGCAACTCGCAGCATTCACAATGAGTTTTTGCAAGTCACATTACTAGCAATGAGTTTTTGCTAGTCACATCACTTGCGATGAGTTTTTGCAAGTCACAGCACTTACGATGAGTTTTTCCAATTTTTGGGGAGCCAAATTAATAAAACTGTAATTCTCCAGAGACAACATCTGCAGCAAGTTTTACATACAATAGTCAACAGCCTCAATATCAGTTTCATCATTTTTCCAGTACAAAAATGATGTAAATTAAATCATTTTTTTGTTTATTAACTTTTTCTACTCTGCCATTATACAAAACAGGTTTCCATGTAGTTGGATCGTATTGGATCGAAAACTAATGTAACACATAAATATTTTTAAATGACTAAATATTTACACAATTTAAACTTAACTTACTGATTGTTCTAAAT